AATTCACCACAGACAAACTGTGCTGATGGGGCTGAAGATCGCAACGATATTTAGCTGTGACATGGCTCATTTTGTTACAGGAAACACAATTTTACACTGCTTGTGCACAGTAAATAATCACCAGGTTTTTTGTCTATACTTTTCCTGCATGCATCCTGCTTATAAAACACCATAGCTAACCGAGACTCCATCTGTGATGTACCACGTGTATGAGATATGATTCAGAATGACAGAACAGTGGATCTCACATTGTGCGGCATCCAAGATCCCTAAGAGTGGGTTCTATCTGAGCATGTGTGACTCACCTCTCAAACACAGTGCATTGGCATCAGTTTGTGTCAGCTGTTGGTTAGCAGGCATAAGTGTCTGTCAGCTGGCTGCTAGCAGGTGTCTTAGGCACCTTGTAGGCTGTGTGGAGAGGAAATCAATGGCTCTCTGTTGATTAGAGGCCCCTCTGACAGGGATCAATCAGGCTTATACCACCACAAAGTAACAACATTAAAGCAGAACCCTGCTTCACTCCGGCTCCACTGCTCCGACAAGCTTTCATGCTGCTCTGACATATCAGCCATAATGAGCCATAAGGAAGAATCTGGACATTCTGCTTTGTTGTCGTTCGGCGCTCATGCAGACACAGTAAACAACCTTCAGTTCTGCAGCTGCCTCCAATCAACTCCATGTAAGATTAAGTTACTCTCTACAAACTTTCTCTTTGGATTCTTGTGTTGCCATTAGAGGGAATTACATAAGACATGCAGGGATGATGCACATCCAGCCAAACCCCACTGCTCACAAAGTCCAGCCCAAAATAGCCAGTGTGGCAGGCTAATACAAAGGTACTCTCAGCTTTTATTGTGGACCAGAGGAAACAAGGAAAACACATTAGATTGCAATGTTAAGGCAAACACATTTTAGCTGGACTGTTTCACAAGGAATCCCCAGGGCAGCTAGGAATTTTGTCCGTGGTCCCTGCAGTGGTTAATATTTCACACAGCCAGAGTTAGACCTCTTAGATAGACATATGTCAGAATGAAGGGGGTTCCTTTAGATCTTACGGGACCTTTACATGCCTTGCATAAAATATGTAGATACTGTGATTCAGTGGACTCAGAGATGAGTGAAATGCAGCAGCTGTGAGTTTGAAGACTCTGGGGAGATGCACCCAGTCTTCCCTTAATCCCGAATGAACCCTGATTAAATTCTCAACAAATTAATCCACTCAATCCTCTCTTCCCAACTTTCTTGCCCCAGACACGATTTACAGTTGTGGCAGCCATACAGCACATGCCACTCAGACCACGTGTTTCTGTGAGGATTTAGATGCAGCGAAGTGAAGTATTTGGATGCTCTCTTGGCTCAACCGAAGAATCCACGTTGGCGTAGCTTTGATTCCTGGTGGATCAGACTAGATTATATTCAGCGGATTTTTAGGCCTTTCTAGAGTGCACTTGAGTTAGAGACACTCTTACTAGTGTGCTCATGTAGCTGATACTGCATGTTGTAAAGGAAGCAAATGTTTGCAAAAAAATCCCTGCTTGAAGAAACCTTGACTAAATGGGATGCTCTTGAGACTTGAAGTATAGAATACAATAGAATAACCATTTCAATGTAATTCCTCATGCTTAATCAGCAAATTATGTTTACTTTGGCTGCGCACAAAAAGAACATTCAAATCCACTGCAAGTAACACTCATAAACAAACAAGCCAAATCATTTGCGAGCGGTATCCATGGTAACCCACACTGAGTAGGAGCAAAAGAGACTGAATTGATTTCAAAGGGAATGAAGTAAAGTGCTGATGGGAAGTCTTCCATGGAGACCATAAAAATGTACGTCACGAGGATGAAGGGAGTTAAAAATTGCTTGTAAACCTTCAACAATCTGCAAATACACCGCAGGAGGGTTTGAGCAGTGCAGTCTCACAACGATGCACATTCGGTGGAAACACACAGTGTCGATGTCTCTGCTGGCTGAGATTATCTCCAGCAGAGATTGACAATTTAAAGTTAGCATAAGGTATACCATAAGGAGGCCCCCTGTGGCGGCCCCACGGTAAAAATAAGACGGGAAGAAAGACTTGTGTGGGCAGATCCTCCTCTCGGTACATGTAGGTCAAAGTAAGAATAGTGTAGATATTATTCACAGCTGCACTGAACAAACACAAAGTCCTCTGTCCTGGTCTCTGGAGTCACAGTAAGACATCCCATGGTGAGTCTTAATTAAATCTTTACCACACACTCCTCTCTCTCATCCTTCATGTTCTACCATTTTGGCTAAGGAATCACTCAGTCATGTGTGCGAGTTTATTAAAGGGGAAACACATTTAGAACGAAGAGACGGGCCTCTCTGTGGGTGCAGTTTCTTTCCAAGGCCTCCCGATGGTGTGAATTATTTGTGGCTGTGCATTGTCACTATAATATTGTTATGTAACGACATGGCAACAGAATGCATTTATATTATATTTAGAGAGTTTCATCACATTTTCAAACTGCGATTGAGGTCAGCAGAAGGCTTTATAATGCAGGGCTGTCACTAAGGTTGCTCTATTCAAGACTGGACAGACAACACATCTTTTGTGCCTTGGTTTGGAAGAATCAATGAGGTCCTTCTAAATATGGATATCTCTCGCTCTCCATCCCACAGCAGCACAATGCAAAGTAGTACTGAGTTGCACTAATTGTGCAAGGCTGCAGGCCGTGTATAATAGCTGTAACAGCCACTGTTTCCCGTTCAAAGACTGCCATCTGATTTCTGAATGAAACAACTGAATTGTGGACTAACATTAAGCTTTTCTTTTCCCTCCATAAAAGAATGACTCAGAAACCTTGGTTACAAGTATTCTGTTCAAGCATTTGAAATGAATGAGACAAATGTGGCATGACCCCAGAGCCTGGAGTCTTTCCCATTCAAATCATGCGTAGTTTGCACATCCCATCAAATTACATGTGCAAATTTGTTTTGACACTTAATGTATGTAATTACGCATCCCGGTGGCCATTTGTAGCCATCCAGATGCACCTGTGCTCTCAGCTTTCTCCAGGCTGTTTAAATGGGTCAGCTCTGGAAATATCCTGGCTCAGAGAAGAAGTCGTGAGCGCCCCTCCCGTAACAGAACAAGGCTATTGCTGGCAGTACCCTTGAATCCTTTGTTTGTGACCTGCAAAGTCATAGAAGTTGTATTAGAAGATTACACAACACCTCAAGTGCATGACTGTAGTGGGAGAAAATCGCAATTTCTGTTTGTCTTTTTGTGAATGGACGTGCAAGATGTGCAGTGGTATGTGTAAATGATGCTGACTTGTCAAAAAAAAGTGGAATGTAATCATCTTCCAGAACATGAAGTTATGTCTGTCCTGTTCGGATGAGCACCTGAACTGCTAACCAAACCTAGATTTGTTAGGAGGGAATGGTATGGCCCACTGAGCCGCTAGATAAGAAGTGCAGGTTGGCAGACAGCTTTAAAACCAGACTGACCTTTTGTGAGCGAGCTGCCATATAACATCCTGCCCGCAAAATTGGATTTTGCACTCCAGACACTTTTGTCTACAGTAAAAACTTCCAAAGGAAAAATAAATTGATCCATTTGGTGATTACAATTGAGCTCTCTCCCTCACTGCATAAAACCAGTCAGCCTAAAATATTTAGACACCACGGCAAGTCATTTTAAAGTTGGATAAGGGAAACTAAAATATCTTAATTTTAATATAATATTTGTTTCAACTGTAGATGCAGTCACATTGATTTGTACAATAAAACACAGGCATTCTTTTGACTAGAGGATGCATAATACTATTGGCCTCTCTCAGCTGCAGCTGCTGCATTCAGATATGCAGCCCGAATGAAAGTCCAAAAGACATTGGAACATAATAAACAAGTTCTTCCTCAAACTGTGTGAATAAGGCCATTATTCTAATAAGAAAAGGTAGGCTAAACTATGATGAGTAGTATTCAGGGAGCCATTTGTTCATATGTGCCCGATTAGTTTGGTTTGATAGGATTATGCACACATTGGTATTCGTGTTTTCTGTGTGATTATGTATCAAAATCATGTCATTAAAATGCATGTCTGCGTAGACAAAACCTCTTTGCTGTTTATAACACAGTAGAAGACAATACTCCCCAAAAAACCTTGTCTCTGTAATATTACCAACATAATAATGGCTCAATCGCTGAATAGTCAGTGAAATACAAACATCTCAGATCTAAAAATAAAATAAGAATCCTAACTGTAGCGCAGAACACGTTTTTACCTTGTTGTTTGAGAGAAATGCACTTCCAGTTTTTAAAAATGAATATAATGTATTGTATTGAATAGTTCGGATCAAACAGACAGAAAAGGGTTATTACTCCATTGTAAAAGGAATTACATAACCTGATTAATCTCCTGCAGAGTTGAAGGCTGTGGCAGTCAGACTGCAGGCCCACACCACCTTGTGGTCACATTAGTATGGCTGCTATTACAACAACTATGCAAAACACTGGTCAGCTGAGCAAAGTGTGCTCAGTCGACAGTTTTCGGCATGCATTTCAAGCATGTTTTATTGCTTTAAAAAGTTTACAAGATTTAGAGACCTTTTCAGCTCCTTCCTGACCTCAAATTTGAGATGTTTTTAAATACTTGCATATTACCATACAATACAAAACACAAGCGCATCAAGCACCACTCCTGGACGGTTAATACGGGCAATTCCAAAGCGAAAATTAGATTTTCATTTTCTTGGATGTCATCGCAGGTCATCGAAGTTTTATTTTCATAAATCTTTGTCTTAGGGGGCTTTACACTCTGTACAACACACAACACAACACTGTATCCTTTGACCTTCAACTTGAAAAGAAAAAAGGCCACAAAAAATACATAAAACTTCAGTCAGAGCAACAGAGGAGGAATCTCTGTAGGATGGACATACATGCATTATGTACAGACATAATTAAGTGAGACTTGAACCCGAAACACCCTGTGTTACTGTTCCATATTCTGTCAATAACAAATAAAACAGTCATTGTTGGTCATAGACTTTATTAGACATGTGCATGTTTTAATAACATACTCATTTTCACATAATATAGCTACATTGCATATAACATCAAATATCTTTTTTTTTACATTTAATTCAATTCCACCATGATTTACATTATGCAATATCTACTTTTTTGATTGACAAAAACCTCAGCTCTTTGATTCTTGCACTTACATTTATGATATACATTTTAAAATCTGGCAGGCATCAAATGACAATCAGTTCAACTCAAATTTGTAAAGATTTAGTCTTTTCACAATGATAGTTCAATGCATTTAGAAAACAATAAAACTAGCTGTAACAAAGAAAATAATGTACATTCACAGTCAGATATATCCACCATAAATAATGTAAACTTTTAAAAAGAAAAAAAACCCCATCTGTGAATATCAAAAACATACATAAAACTAGTTCTTTGCATCACTGTCACAGCTCATCCTGTCAGTCTCAGGAGGTGCCATGGCAAATAGTACGTCTTATAATGGCCAACAGGCCTCTGAAAATGTGGGTATGACATTTTTCAAAGTTAACCATCCATGCTAATTGTGATGACTCATTTTCATAAATTACACACTCAGTGTAACAGTTACACAAAGCTTCTCTTACTGATCCTCTTGGAGTTGGTCTGTACCACGATGAATCAGACGGTCATGCACTGACACTGAGTCACTGTAAAATTTAAAAATGACAGCCTGAATCACTAATGCATAAACTTACTAGCCCCAGATAGTCCTGCCTCATAGAAAAAAAACGTAAGCGTGTACAAAAGTGTACGTAAGCATGTGACACATAATATCAACAAGCACAAATAGCAGCAGGGGATAAAGGGGACAATCTGCACCACTCAGAGCTCTGTACAACACATCTATTTGGTTTGACCAGTTACAGAACGACATTCACACATTTATGCACCATTGAGCACAAGGGGTCACTGTGGCTACACAAAACACAGGCAGCATGAAGAATCTGCAGGGGAACCAGGGGTCATCTATACTTTTGGCTATTGGGTCTTCTCTAAAAAGCATGATATTGCCATTCTACGTTGACATTCAAATAGAAAGCACTCCTTCTGGAAGACATTTCAGTGCCTGGAAACAATAGTTTTTCAGTCGTGATCAAAGGAAAGGTTGACAGTGCAGGGGGGGGGGGGTTGCAGGAAGTTCTAAATCTACTCCAGGGCCACACCCCCCAGTTAACATTCCTGTACCTTTACATTATTTCTTTATTGTATAGCTTATTCTTACAGACTATAAAGTCATTGAAACCCAAGGAAAGAAAGTCTGCTGCATTGTATGATACAGACTAAGGTTTAGTTACTTAAGTGCAAAATCCAAATGCATCAACTAACTCCTGAAATAAACCTGACTCAATCCACTAACTTACTGTAAACCCATAGCTACAGTAAGAAGCTTTTTCATTACATTGCATTGGAATCAAGGGAATATGAAATTACACTGTCTGTATATTATCAAATTTTTCACTAACTGTACCTGAACAGTTGCAAACCCTGCCTATGCTGTATCCTTCTGTGCCACACCTGTCACACACACAGCAGCACCCCAGGGTGGGAACACCGAGTTGTTGCTTTGTCAAGTGGCAGATGTATAAACCTGAAAATAAAGACTTCATACATCAGTCAATGTCACTGTATTCAAGTATAATTTTGCAGTATTCTCTGTGTGCAAATGCATCTGAAATAATAGAAAGATTCTACCTTATTAAAATGCATGCTTTTCCTTCATTATTAGTAAACAGGCACAATAAAACTGCAATGGAAGACCCTCACCCTCACATACAAGTGTCACAATCAATTGGAAATCCCTGAGACAACTCCATTTGATCTGACATTCTTGTCTGCTTTCAAGGGGGAGAGCTTTTGGGCTTTTGTTCTTGTGCGACAAAAAAAAGTGGCAGCAACAACATACTCACAACACCTACTAGGTTACTGTACTAACTAATACAACTACATGTCACGGCACAGTTACAAGCGCCGATGTCAGGGGTTGGAAAATGCGACCATTGCCTCCTGTTGACATGCAGCTAAGACATCACCATGAGCGGTCAACAGCTCAAACAGCCTATGTGTGCAGCTGTGCTGTGTTAGGGACTGTACAAAAATGATTTTGGGACGGACGGGTCAGAAAAGGGTATTGTAACTTTGTTTTTGCTCAGGAGAGTGTCATCTTACTTTATTGGGAGAGCAGGGAAGGGTCTTTCATTTCTTTGTATCTTACCCCATATTTCTATACTAGGTCATATTTGATGTTGTTTATGTGAGATGATTTATATAAAAATAGATAAAATAGTTAATAAATCAAAAAGATGATTTTCATGTGTGCCATAGAGGTGCATTATGCCATATGCAGAGGATATAATAACAGTTTTAGCAAGTTCTACATTCAAAAATAGAAACTGCTGTATTTTAACTATTTTGTTATGTTTGGCATAAATATATAATTTTGACAATTTTTAAAAACACTGGGGAGGGCCTTGCTTTTTTTTTTTTATAAAATAAAATATTAGATTTAGCACTCCTCCACTCTCCAATGATTTTCGTACAGTCCCATAATTCATTCAGTTGGTCGGCTAACCGACCAAAATGCAAACATAGAGATCACAATTACTTTACGGCACCTACAAACAAGTGGGAGCAATATTTTGTTGCTTAGTTTCTTATCTTTGTGTATTTGAGTTCATGCATATATAGGCCTTCTTCTGTGATTTGTTTGTGTAACACGAAGGTGTGGATGACTTACTTCAGCTTGAGGCGAGGCAAGGAATGTTTCAGATAACAGTGCCTAAATTAACTGTATATTCTACTTTTTGTTCATTTTAAAAGGTGTTAACTATTTAGGCAGTGGGTGTCAAGTGTGTACATTTTCATATCATGGTCAATGTACATGAATTGGATCCTGTTGGTCCTTGTTCGCTGATGTAATCTGTCCTTCAGTTTGCCTGTCCATCTTTCTGTCAGTAGGAGGAGAGGAGGGGGGCTTAAGCCGTCTCAGTCTGAGAAGAGACTGGCAAAAGATTTGCGTAGATTGCGTATGGTTTCAGCCTTCACCTCATCCTGGCTAAGGCTGGCTCGTGGCGCTGGGGTTTCTGGAATGTTGAAGGCATTGGTAAGAGACTGGGACTTGCTATAAAGAGAGGAAAATGGCAATAGAGGAGAGGAAGAGGCGATTAAAGTCATGCAGCAAACCCATGAAATGAAAAGACATGAAGCACGGCAAGACAGAGAGAGAGAGAGGCAGGAGAAAAAAGGCTCAGTAAAAAAAGGATAAAAGCTTTCTATATGGCCATTCAGTATTTCCTTATCATTTAGCTTTGATATGATATAGTGAATGGCTTTTCTGGATGCAAAGAGATGATGACAAGTGTTTTATGTCTCTATTTCAAGAGAGCATAATGCAATCTAATATAATCCAAAATCAGGATCATGTGAGTCATTTCTCCATAAAAGCCATCAGCTGGAGAATGTATTGACCACTAAGGTAGAAGCAATATTACTCATTTTTTTTGCAGCAAAAACCTCCGACTACATTTCTAAAGCTTTCAACAAATACAGGTGAAATGTAAAGGTACTTTTCAGCTTTGAGGGCTTCTACTGTATATCAACTTGAGTTGTATAAGTTGTCAGTAGTAGTAAATGGTCAGTTCTTTTATTAAGATGTATCTTCTTTTTTTTCCAACACACAGTTTTGCATTATTCCTCGAGCAATTATTTTCACAATATATGAACTATTGTTTATTTTTTAATGTTTAATGTAATGGTTCAGATTCCTCAGAGTTATCAGTGTTGTCTCAATTTAAATTTTGTGACTGAATGTGAATCGGAATAAAAGACAAGTTAAAATGACTTCCAATGATATGCCAATATTGCATATTAATTATTAAACTCAAAATGTATATTTCTGTAATAAATGCCTTATATAACATCACATCAACCGAAGAAGTTTTATATTAAATAACCACTTTTTTAAACAACTTCTGAACAATACTGAGTAAATACCTATTTTGATAGGTTTTTACTTTTTTTCTATCCATGCCTGATACAAAGAGAAAACTGATTTAAAATGTTGAACATTTGTTAACCTGTGTCCTAGAATATGGATTGTGACAAATGTGATAGATTATGAACAACAAGCCAAATGTGGCTTGTTGTTGTTTTAATGTATGAAATCTGAAATGTTATGTTTGGTGAAACTGCATCGGAAGGACTGAAAATGTAAGAATTAATAAATCATGCACATTCAAGAGGATCGTTTGTCAAAAGGTGCATAAATAGATTTCCCATGTGGCATGCATATCCAAATGCAGGCAAAAAGTAAGACAAATGAGAGGAAACTGATCCGTAATCTTTTATCATATACACTTACTTACTTTAGTTGTGGAGAACCGCCCACAGCCGGGTTGTCCTGACTGGGCTTGTCCTGACTGGGCTTGTTTGGGGGCTGAGGCTTTTGCTGCAGCGGGGGTCGTCCTCCTGGGCCCCCATGGCCTTGAGCAGCAGGTCGGGGCTGCTGGGTGGTGGTTCCTCCAGGGCGACCTTGCTGGCCGGGAGCCCTCTGTTGCTGCGCTGCCCCCTGTGAGTGCTGCCTGGGAGGTGCAGGCCTCTGTTGAGGTTTCTGCTGCAGGGGGACAGACTGCTGCCTTTGAGCTTGAGGTGAACCTCCCTGGCTTCGCTGAGGAGAGCCCTGACCAGAAGGAGTTCTCTGGCCTTGAGGGGCTCCCTGACCTGGTGGCCGTGGCTGGGCTGCAGGTACTTGGTTAGCCTTAGCCTGAGCACTGGGGTCACCGGTTGCTGGGTTCGCAGCAGATTGCTGGGCCTGTGCAGGAGGTTGGCCTTGAGGCTGTGGGCGCTGCTGAGATGGGGGACTTTGCTGAGGACCACCTACAGTAAAAAAAAACAAATCAGCAATCACATGCAAATACCTTCCTAGTATCCTTGCCTAGACTTCGAAATAAAGAGAAATTATTTCTCGACAAAAATGAATTGCATCATTTAACTTCCAAGTTCTTACCCTGAGGTGAGGGGCGCTGCTGAGCCTGTGGTACGTTGGGCTGTGAGACAGGCTGAGGAGACACTGTTTTCTACAAAACATACAGGGGTAAAATGGCAGTGAGTAAATGTGCATCAAACAAGAAAGGAAAGAAAAATTAGCTGAAGATAGAAAAATATATTAAAAGGATCAGTGCTTGGCCCGTTACTCTTCATTTATGTTTTGAGTCTTGATTAGCCACACATATGACATAAATCTCCACGTCTGTGCAGATGACACTCAATCTGACATCTATCCTTGCAAAAGTTTGTTTGATACCTCAGAAATATATGTCAGCTCACTCAATGCACCTGAAAATACTGTCAGACTGAGTTATACAAAAGTATTGGTCCAGGCCGACATAGACATCTATTTTCAGACATTACCTTAGAGTCAGAATGTTTATTATTTCATTATTCTTAAATTTTTATAACATGTCCAGGGTCTTCACTATGCTGTCTTTTACAACGGTTCCACCAATGTATGGTTCCACCAATTACCTTGAGTTTGGTCAAGGTACACCTGCACGCTTAAAGGTCCTTGCTTTGATATTTAAAGGCTTGCATGGCTAGGCACCACATACACGTGGACATGAATGTGTTTCACTATGTATTTACTCATTATCGGTTTCTCATAGTCTGTATGCAGTATGTATGCAGTATATACAGTGCATTGTGTATATGTTATCTCATAAGTTTCTGATGTTCTTAGAAACCTCGTGTGTAACTGTGCATGCTAAATAAAAACAGATCTTACTTGACATATATTACGAATAAAAGTGTGAAAAATATAGTCAGGTAAGAGATTTCTGGATCAAAAAGAGTATCTGTGGTTTGAGCACCTGCGCAGGCTGCCCTGCTGTGGAAGAGCTCAAAGTGCGTGGAACAGCCTGGTTCATCTTAGAAATCACCAGCTCTGCAATCTGAACACGATCCTCGTCTTGCTGGTCTCCAATCAGCGGCATCGAACAGTCATCAACCTAAAAATCCACATATGATGGATTTAATAGATTTCCCTTATGGTCACAGACAAATATTCCATTGATATGATTTGTCTGCCTTTTAGTACCTCTATAATGTAGTCCATGCCATCTTTACCATGTAGAGCCTCCACAGCACAGATATCCAACCCTCCAAAGATGTCAGCACAAGAGTCCACCCACAATCTGTACCTGTAATAACATGTCAAACAGATCTATAATAGTACAGGGAGACATTATAGGATTCACAATCTCATCTCCTCTGCATTTATGAGCTCTTACTTGTCTGACATGGCCACCTGCTCAAGCATAGATGAGCCAGTGTTGGTTTTCCAGTTGCCAGAAATTGATGTTCTCCTGTTTATTAGAATTGTTTTAATTATTTTGCTGTTCAACCACTTTCATTTGATATAATAATGTACCGGTGAGTTGGCTCTTTGGCAGTAATCTGAAACTCACATGTAGGCTTTGTAATGGTTGCCGATCTTCTGGATGCGGACATCATACTTTGCATCAATGAAGGGCTCGGATGTGGCATAAGTCTTGGTCAGTGCCACAACACTGGCAATATCTTGAAAATCATATTGATTGTCCACTTTCACCTGGAGTGGCAAAGGTCAACATATAAATATACTGGCATATATTGGTCCAAGAAATATTGTGTTCACACTGAATTGAGTAAACACTCCAGTACTACCTTTCCCATTCCTGAGTGAGCATGGCCCATCTTTACCACTACAGGAAAGCGGGGGGAGGTAATCTGTAACAAGAGAATCATCACATACTCAGACTTATCATATATTAACTTCATCATTCATCACTCTAATCACTAAAACACCATGTTTTAATGCATGTCTGTCAAACAGAAGTGACACACAGCACACCTCCTCTATTTCTGCAGGAGATTCGGATTCATAGTGATTGCTTGAAAGCCAGCCCAGTACTGTCAGCCTGTGACAGCAGGGGTGGAGATGACTGCTCTGCAGCAACAGACTCAGTGTAACTGTAATGTCACTGACTTGGCAGACGAATAATCAGAAACTCTGCATCTACCAGTTACGGAAAAAAACAAGACACTCCCCAGAAAATTAGATCGGTCTCAGCTGCTACATGAGATGGGATATTGACATGAAAGTAAATGACCCTCCTAAAATGTGAAGTGGGCCGTGCAGAGGGATGACCTGCTTGTGTGTGAGTCTGTGTGTGTCTCCTTAAGGCTTCAGCATTAAGACATACCCATCAGCCCAAGTGGAAAGGGGGGAGGAGAGAGAGAAGGAGAGCAGATGGCAAAGAACTTACCATTTCCTTGTGGTTTGGGTAGTAAACCTGCTCTATCAGGGGGAACTCCTCTGAGCCTAGTTGCTTGGAGATTCTAGACATCTGAGCAAACTAAAATGGACAGAAATGTTTAGAAGAGAGCATTTGTACTCCAAAATTTAAGTTTCATATGTCTATTTAGATGAAATTGTGTCATATGGTTTCAAACTAATTGATGAACAATACTTGCCACCCATGGTTTGTCACAGAAATTGTAGACAGAGTGCAAAGAGTTAACACTTGGCACTCCAGCATACTGCAGTCCAATCACTATGTTCCGGTGGTCTCCATTCTTGTCCATGCTGAAGGCATGTTGTCTGATCAGCACAAAGTCTGGCTTTAAGGATCTGGGTGAGAGGACATTAGCAAAATATTAAACTGCATTGCAAGACAAACTGAACAGTCATGAGGCACTTCCATTCATGGTAGTGGATTTTCAGCAGATTTCAACAGCAAATTTGCAGCAGCACTTTCAAACTTTCTTAACTAGAAATATTTTGCAGAGTACTTACTTAGTAACCTTATGCCCATTCCTGATTGCATCAATGTCCACATTGTAAGTGCCTGTGGAATTCACCACCAGGCTGATTTCAGAGAATTCTGCCTAAAAAAAAAGAATTAAAATCATGATCACAGCAGCAGGACAGTTAATGACATATCAGATCAGATGGCAGACTTCATCTGAAGCGTGTTTCTACCTGTTAAGAGGCCACAGGGGAAATAATGGAAATGCCAGGGCAACATGAAGTAGAGGGACAAAAATAAAAATGCCTCAGGCAGTGGAAAAGATTTAATAACTATCAGGGTGTCCTCGAAGTGTTGTTGGGTGGATTACAGTATAAGTAGCCATAGACACACACTGTGTTAATAATAATAATAATAATAATAATAACACATATTTTTACAAGGCTACTCATTACTATTCACAGATTTACCAAAATGACTAGACCACACAAACAACTCATTTAAACTATGTTTCTCTTAGTCAGACTTCAAGAGAACAGTGTGGGAATGAATAAAGCAGCCCCCTCTCCTATCAATACTCTGGGACATGTATCATTCTAAGAGCTCTCTATGAACACCGTAATAGCACCCATTGTACTGGATGATTCATCTGTTATTTACTGAAGAAACCACAAATTATGTTATGTTCGTATCAGGCCTGTTGTTGATCAGTTTACCCAATATGCAAGTTGACATATTAGTAAGATTTACCCAACAAAATGACTCACCAAAGGACTAAGAGATGTCACTGCCTCAGAAAATAAAGATATCAAACCAAAATAGGATCAAAGGGAAGACAAATGATGCATAATATGGGCAGGGTTATGTAACATCCCTCCAACTGAAGTTCACAGTTTAGTCATGAGGCTAAAGCTGGTTTATTTCAACTAGTCCAGTTATTTTATAAGTTCCCTGTCCTCCTAATAAGGAGTAAAGATTGACACAAACACAGAGTAAGGAAAATAGTTGTGTGTAAAACCTACCTGTTCTACCTTGATGTCAAATTCACTGTGGACCTTTCTTCCTCTGAAGACCTTTACCCTGCATGTGAAATGAAGATTTCAGTCCAATTGTTGTTTGTATTCAGACACAAAACAATAATTTAATTTTGCTAAATCCTCCTGTAATTGACAGACGACACTTTCTCCAGCATTTGCAGAACATTTCAGAACTGACCAATGGAAGAGTTGTGTCAAATACATAAATAAAGCTGAATTCAATGGAACTAAATGCTATTGCTCCACAGATAAAGTAATAGGTTAGTGGCAGTATGTTATATGCTGGTATGACTGTAACTGCTGGCAGTCATCAGGATTAAACAAAAAGGTAAAGCTAAATTAAGATTCTTAAATGACATTATTTTACTACCTGATGCACAAGGAGATATGAATTGGACATAAGGACATTAATACTGGATCTAGCCTTTTACATCCACCTTATGAAGTATGAATACCCACATATCCTGCATGTAGTGACAGTGTGAGAACCACAGGGCCTCTGTACTGTAGGATGGAAAGGTTCTAATGTGATGATACACAGATATGCATAGTTTATTATCACCCTAGGGTGTCATTTTGGGACAACAGTGCAGTGTTTTATCACCTTTGCTGTGTGTGCAAATCTCCAACAAGCATGCATTATGCACACTGGTGAGGAGGCTTGACTAACCTGATGCAGGCATTTTTCTTGTGCACAATTTGCTCTTACATCCACTCCACTTGAAAATGCCTGCATCATCATTGTGGCATTATAGCCCATCCCTGCATCGGCCATGCAGGTATGGCCATAAGCATTTTATTGGCAGAATGCAATACTTCTACACGAGCAACAGCTTATCGTCAATTGAAAATGGCTCCTCTGCCTTCAGTCGGTTGCGCGTTTGCCATGGCACTATCGGTACACAAACACGTTTGCACGGTGTTTCAGGTCTGAGCAAAGCCAACGGCTGTTACACGTGGTATATCTCAATGCACTGGGTGAATCATATGACCTTCTAGATGTTAGGCCACTGCAACCCACAGTCTGCCACACATTTTGGTCTAGACGATGAGGCACCGCGCAGGCAATAAGCACTGCTCTTACCAGTCGGTCTGCTGATCGTCGATAACCAGGAGGATCTTGGCACTGCTGGAGACTCCTGCCCGGTCAGCTGCCTCAGATAAGGTAGCAGCCGCAGCAGCTGTGGTCTGTTTAACAGCATTTGATATGGATGAGAAGAAGCCAGAGCCTCCACCTCCAGGCTGTTGCTGCTGCTGCGGCTGCGGCTGCTGCTGATGCTGCGGCTGAGGCTGCGGCTGGCTGGTGGACTGCCGCCTCTCCGTCGGGCCGGGCGACACTGCGGGGCTTTCCTGCGGCTGGTCGGGGCGTTGGAGATCGGTCATGTAGCCATTGGGCAGGTTGGACATGAAATTGCTGTCCGAGAGTCGTCGACGCAGGTAGTTCATGATGGAGACTTTCTATAGTGACGGAGAGAGGTGTCCAAATATCCTCCAACTGGATGCGACTTGCAGCTTGGTGTTCAGTAACAAAACGGAATGACTAGGCTACTTTCCTTTGTACAGGGGCGGGGATCAATGTTACCTAAAGAGAAACAAGTCGTGCAATATCTATTGGGTGCAGATTTGTAATATCTAATTACAACAGTAAGGAATCGTGACTGTAAAGCTTGATGAATTAGCTAAGGTAAATCAATCACACAGCCTATTGATAATAGCGGAAAAAAATAAGGCTCTATAAATAAAATAATTAATACTATTTACATTTATATAGGGTGGATTGTGTAAATAAACCCCACCCATCAAAGCAACCAGTACTGTCATAACAAGGCACGATGAAGCCTACCTGGGAGTGTATCCAACCTGATCCGCCCCGAGGATGAGTTGATGATGCCTAATTATTATCTCTCACAGGAAACCTAAATATAGGCTACTCTCATGTCCTCTGTGCAGTCGGAAAAACGGTGCATCGGGCTTGAACATGTGAAATGAAAGCTACAGTCCTTCCAGCATCACCGCCGTTCTCCCTGTCCTTACTCTACCCTCAAGCCCTAGTTTTTTCCGTCTGCCCTGCGTCACTCCCAGTCATCCTGAAGGAAAGTGGCCTGCAAGGCTGCACGAGAGTCAAGTTAGGCAGTGTGCGAAATACGACTTCCGGATGTTGCTTTCAATTTATTTTTTACTTTATAAGTTTTACACCGCCTACGGTGAATTCTATAAGAGTGTACATCTTGACATTCTAATTCAAAGGCAACACATTATTCATTTTGACACGTTTTTATTACACATAGGGACATATATTTCTCTTTTGTGAATCAATTTGCCATAACCACTTGATTCTGTAACTTAATATTGTTCTCTCAGCAACGTGTTGGAACGATGACGGGAAATCAACAGATGTTTTAAATAGTTGTTTAAGTCATGTTAGTAAACCAACATTTATGGGTCCAGCTTCGGAATGTGATGATGTGTTGCCTTCGTATGTTTTATGTCATTGTAAACTAAATATTCGGGGGCATATAGGTCGTGCAAAACAAGCAACTATAATAAGTCATGTCAGGCTTTGGTAAAAAAAAATAAATGAAAGAGTCGTTTTGCAGTTTTGACGTTGACCAAACGGTTAATGATTTAAATGAATCTAATCAATGCGTAAATTGAAGTGGAAATAATTAGCAGTTGCACCCATCAAAGCGTGGCAGCTGAAATCACTCAAATGTCTTGCACATGTTTAAGTCTTTTAAGCTATTAAAAGGAATTTTAATTAACTTCCTGTATTGTTCAGCCTGTGATTGTCTGACTTGACGCAGCTCTCTGTTGGGATATGATGGTGGTGCTGAAGAGAGTGTCAAGGGCGTAGCTCTGTCAGACATTAGCACGCTGTGACGCCACGGGGTGCTTATGGGTGTTGATGTGATATTGCATTCTGTTGTGTTCAATAATGCATCAGTGGCACACTTACTGTTTAGATTTCAGGGCGCTGACACAGTGTGTTACTTTTGATTTTCAGAAGACTCGATACAGATTGAGAGATGCGCCATCTGTTGGTGACACCCAGGAGTCAGTGATCAACACAGACCCCCCCAGGGAGTCCCAAACCTCTATGGAAACTGTGTGGTGATGACTGAACCATGTTAACAGTGGACACAGACACACAGTGCATTTTAATCAGTTGAATAATGCCTGGTCGAGGTAGATATTACTTACAAAATATTTCTGCTTACTTAGTTGACTATAATAAAATAAACTCGGTCAAGAAAAAAAAAGTTAACCTTTATTTAAAAGAATGAGTGAGGAGGAACCATCCACAAAGCCAGGAGAAACTCGACAGAACTCGGTCGCACTCGTCGATTACACATAAGCAGTTGACCACTGAAGACAGGTCTTGCATGAGGCGGAATGGCGAATGCTGAAAGCGGGACGAAAGCGCTGCTCTATCAAGTTATTTCCTCTGGCTATATATTTAGTAAACTTTGTTGATGCCATATTCTCTATCTGTTAATTAGGGTTTGTAGAATAACTATATCTTTGAGCTAGACCTTCAAGTAGCTAAGCTGTGTAAAACCCTGCTACAATAAGTGTAAATTTAGCAACAACTTGAGTTTCAGCAAAAGTAGAGTGCTTATCAGAACCAGAATCAGCTTTATTGGCCATGTATTTATACACATACAAGGAATTTGACTCCGGATTTCACTTAATCTCAACGTACATACACAAGTTTACAAACAAGAAAAATATACAAAATAAAACAAGGACAACAAAAAAAGTAGAACAGATGTAAACACTTTTAACGACTATGTACAATATAAATATAAATAAATATCCAAAGTGTATATATATATATATATATATATATATATATATATGGACATAAACCTATACAACAACAATGACAGTGGAATTGAGGTGATAGTGCAAATGGAGGTATGAAGAAGCTGGTCCTGTGTCTGGTGGTTTTGCCTTGCAGAGCTCTGTAGCGCCTACCAGAGGGGAGGAGTTGGAACAGCTTGTGTCCCGGGTGTGATGGGTCTGCAGTGATCTTTCCTGCTCGTTTCCTGACTCTGGAGGTGTACAAGTCCAGGATGGAGGGCAGGCTGGAACCAATAATTCTCTATGCAGACCTGAGTGTCTGCCTGTAGGTCGGGAGAAGATGAACCAGACAATGATCAGAGAGTCCCAAAGCTGCACGGGGGACTGGGCGATATGCGTCCTTTATGATAGCAGTGGTCCAGTGTGTTTTTGTCCCTGGTGCTACACTTAATATGTTGTCTGTATTTAGGCAGTTCTTTGCTGAGGTTTGCTCTGTTGAAGTCCCCAAGAACAATGAGCAGGGAGTCTGGGTGTTTGTGCTCCATCCTGCTCAGCCAGGTGTTGGGGCGCCTCACTTACACAGGCCTGTGGTGGGATGTAAACACCGGCCAGAATGAATAAGGAAAACTCTTTACAGTCTATGAAAAGTGTTTCTAAGTGAAGGCTGCATGATTCCTTCAACACTGTGACATCCGTACACCAACCTTCCTTAAAACAGAAGCAGATTCCGCCTCCCCTCGTTTTCCCCGATAGTACCATTACGTGGTCCGCTCTGAGGAGTTGGAAGCCTGGCAGATGTAGTGCGCTGTCCGGGATGTGCTCACCAAGCCAGGTTTCAGTGAATCAGGGTTGATACCTAACATTTCTATTTCACTTCGTGTTGTGATGCTACTGCTTCAACCCGTTGCTCTCAGGCCCATCTACATTGTTCCATTCAAATATCATCCTTATATGTAAATACCAGCCCTTTTCAAAATAATCTGTATTGTGTATTATTAGCTGTTGCAACCATTCAGTGAATGAAATGTTGAATCAATCAATCAATAAATGCAGTATTTACTCACTCTGCAGCATATTCTTTTACTTGATTATCTAATAATATCAGAATCTAGATTCCTCTTAGTGGCTGTGTCTCTTCAATACTCCAATTGATTGATTTTGTGGAGCCTTGTTTTGCTGTGAGGCACAAATATAACCATTATTTGTTCTACCATAGAAATGCAAAGTAACATTTGACATGCAAATGTGGTTTTAATGCTGCTATTGTCGATGTCTCACACCTCCATGGGGATCCTGACAGTGATTGCCGAAGACAATGTGGCCTCTCCTCTCTCGCTGCACCTGGAGTCTACAGCTACTGCAATCGTTTTGGATGGAACAATGGTGATGGATGACCTTGAAAGACTTCCGCATACCATGTGCCTACTCTTCGGAGTTATTTACGCCCTGAATTTGGAGTACCCTCAACAACTGAGGTACACCTTTGAGTTTATTCAAAGAGTGCTTCACTTGGACAGAAATCCCTAAAACCTAAAATACAATCACTCAAAAATCTACTGATGCAGTGAGTGACTGCCTTCACGATGTGAATGGTATGTGACATGCTGGCTCAGGCCTGAGACCTTTACCCTTCCATCTCCAATGGACTAGTGCATACTAGTATGGAAAAGTGAAGTTTTTTTGGTCCTGTAGTCTAGTTGGACTAGACTACATTGGTTTATCTGTTATTTGTTACACACCATAATCAAAAGAGATATTAAGAACAGGGCAGTTCACCATTTTTCATCAGTGTGATGAAAGGCATTTTGATTTTAAAAAAGTTGTGGAAGTTCATGTCAAGATTAAGACATATTGCGGGTAATGGTATGTTATTTTTCTTTACTAATTTGGTAGCTTGGTTGCCATAAGTTCAGTTAATTCTAGTATTTGAATATAAAAACTGACAAAAGCCTAAAATACATTTATTGTCTTGTTTATGTAAAAAAAAAAAAATGCTTTCCCTTTTTAAGGCAGCAGTTGAAACTTTAAAAACAACTTTGCCATATAAACTTAAACTGTCACTGTATCACTGTGGAATCTTGCAAATGCCAGAGCACTGAAACGAGAGGAATCTGTTTTTTCAGTCTGTCTGTCTCTTTCCTTGTACTAATGTTAGGATATGGAGACAGTTTGTGCAAATATGTTAAAAGGTTGTTTTTGAAAAAGTTACCTTCTGCTGCTCTAAACTGTTACACACGACTAACAAAACTGTGAACAATAGTCTGCATTCCAAAAAAATGCATTTTCGTTTCAAATGTTTACATCATAAGGGGGGACATTAGATCTGTTGTACTACAATTTCATAACGTAATTTGGCAACATGTCCAGCGTTTTCAGCACTAAGTTTGAAGTTAACAAAATGCCTGAGAACTAAAAGTCAAAAAGACATTTGTTGTTCTTATAAATAAACTCTGTCTTCCATTATGGTTGGGGTTTATTCATTTATTTCTGAAAATGCTTCAGTTTTGCTGCTGTGTATATAGAGTAATGGAACACCTCACTCAAAGAGCAGAAAATTATCAATATTATTATTATTACAACAATGTCATAATTATATCATTATTTAGTATATAAGCATATTGTAATATGCATTACAATATCCATAGTGTCTATGTTTGTCCTGATATTACCTCGTACTTTCAGTACCAATTTAATCAGAGAAAAACTATCAGGGTTATAATTAATAATTTATACACCGAATTATTAACGGAGAACTGATGTTCATTTTGAGCAACTCCTTGCATTACATACATGTTGCAGTGTAAACGCTTGAGTCTTCTCAAAGATCTACTAGAGCAATTGTAGTTTCTAATATGGGAGAATTGTATTATCTTGTTTTAGCAGCTGGTTTAGACAGAGCAGATAACTATTGCCTGTGTATTGAAACAAAATACACTAAAAATACAGTAATAGTTAAAAAGTACACTAATATGCAATTGAATAAAATAAAATGAAGACTATTCAAACTAGAAACAGGTTTGTCTGTGCTGCACTATGGTAATCATCTCTCTTAGGTGGCACAATTTATTAATTTTAATTTTATCAAAATTGCAATATGGCCAAAATTGCAGTAGGTGTGTGTCAAATACCGTTGTGCTGCAGAGGTGTCCTGGCCTACACCTTATATTCTAGACTTCAGAAAAAAATTGAGGCATACGTGAAAATGGATGCTGCAAAACTAGAAAAACAGTCAATCAGATTCCATGCATTTTTAAAATGTTGACACTACATTGCGTTCATTGGGAATGGTTCAGTGAGCAAACATGTTTTTCAGGACTAGTATATCATTATCATAAACAAGTTTTTTGATGGTATGCAGTAACCTAGTGCAGGTTTTGATGGCATGTTGTTGCAGTGCACTGACGTAGGGGGGCAGTGTGGAGCTTAAATTTAGTTCAATACAACACATTTCATGTACGTAGTCACAGTCAGCCCTTTCTACGTGCAGCCCTTCTTTAGCAGCTGCTATCACCCTGTCGGGACAATCAGTATAATCAGTATTAAATGGATTGAAACAGGTTAATATATACCAGGGAGGGGCTGAGGATACTTTTTATTGGTTCTAATACACTGTCCAAATAAACCGATTATGATTGATAGGTTTGCATATATCAACATATGAATCACACTCTTAATGATTTTCCTGCAGATGACTACCAATGCCAGACAGTGTCTGAATGAGTGGCCTCCAAAGACTTTCTACCAGGGCCAAACTCCTGAGGCGAAATTGTTCTCATGGCAGCAGCATTCTCAGGACTTAGGAGTCTTTGTCTGGCCATCAACAAAAGCCTTTGGATTACTGGTGAGGCAGGCTCACAGTACAGCTGCATGCGTGTATGGGCAGGTCAGTGGAATGACTGGAGCTCCAGTGGGCTAAGAGCTCGAAAAAATGCAGTTTGGTGAGATTGCAGATCAGGGGGGAGGGAGGAAGGGGAGTGGGACAGGTGGTGATTCCATGGAGGGAAACAACAGGCACATTTCCATTTCCTCAGGGAGAAATCTAAAAAGTTGTGTAAAAAGGCGATTAATGACCAAAAGAGGTGTATTATTGTACAAAAGCAAGTGTTGAATAACGCAAACGCTTCTCTAATCAGTGTGGATTCTGTGATACCATGACATTTAGCAGCTACACTTTCTACCTTTGAGAGTGAACTATACCTGTGAGCTCATTCTGCCTGTAGGGCAATAACAACCCTGGGTGAATGAGGGCCTCTGATTGGCCTCTGCAGCAGCCAATCTGAATGCAAGGAATGGGTCACAGGGAAGCCACTGCACCTATCTGCACTCACCTGATACTTTACCTGTCGGAGCTCAGTCTGAGTCCTGAGTCCTGTAAGCTCCAGCAGACAAGTTGTTCCTCGCTGTTTGGCTTCACTCAGACAAAGACAAGGAGCCATGGCTGTGGCTAATTTCCAATACATTACCCGGATGAGCAGTGGCTTCAAGGTCTACATTCTAGAAGGTGAGCATGATTACCTTTCATTGCCTCATTTTGATTGATGAGAGTGAATATTTGTGTTACCTTGATCAGTGGAATCAAGTCTCTGTGTGTTATGCTTTAACATTTTTGTATATAACATTTTTGTTTCTATGTTTAGATCTTGTGTCATTTCAAAACCATATGTGTTTATTACAGTGGCAGTTACCTTTGTTGTTGACATGGTACAAATGTAGATACAGTTTCAAACACAAATAATTAGATGTGATGGCAGTCACATGGAAGATAAACACTAACAGCTACATTTTAAAATATATTTTGTGAAATATGCTTTTTGGTATATTATCATACAGCTTGTTTGTCATAAAGAAAAGATAAGTGGGTTTCTTAAAGGGAATCTACTTGAAGTAAATAATAAAGGAACCCCTATTCATACTTAATTACTTACGTTCAAGGTCTTCAAGATTGAACCGAGATTCTGTAAATCGTGTTACTTTGCTGTCTTTCTGTAAACACAGCAAAACAGAAGGTCAGGCAGCATATTCCCTCCGCAAACAGGGAATAAATATCCATGCCCGAGGCACTAGAAAATCAGCATAGGTGTGGTTGTACCTGCCCCCCCACAATGGCAGCCTGTGTGAAAACACTAGGAAATGTGGATTGGAGCAAGCACTTAGCGTGTGAAGACAGGGGACAACTTTCATTGTCTTACTATTCAAAAAAACACAATCACCTCATTGATTGATTTCAATAGATGTTATTGTGTCTCATTTAAGCACTGAGTGGTTGATTTGACTACAGTTCAAGGAGCTCTGAAGGACTCCCACATCAATGTGGATTTTCAAGTGCTAACTGAGCATACAGTCAAACAATGGGCCACAGTCTAATTATGCCGCCTTTACAATTTCAAACAATGTGTTTTATTTTGACTGGATGTGCATGACTTTTGAACACGTGAGCTTACTGCTGTGAGACAGGAGCCAGAAGAGATAGAACGTAACTCCTGTTTTTTTTCATTTAATAAATGACGATCCCTCCTTTATAAAAAACATGGAAAATATTTTGTGGGTTTAACTTGCAACAGTGCATTTTTCCCATCCAACACATCAATGACATCATCAGCGTCTTGTCAATGTGTTTCAACTTGTGTAAATGCAAAAATCCAGTATGTGTGTGATCACTCTGATGGACCTTTCACAAATGGGTGCCGCCCAAATCAGGGTCCTTAAAGACTCAAAAGCTTTCAGATGTGTGTCACTGCATCACAACAAAACCTGTTGATTGTGCCCTTTTAGCTGTGTGATGATAGGGCTGACTGCCAATATTATGCAGAAAAACAACATTTACCGTTAGCACTGAATCAGCTGTGTAGTGTTGTAACCCTCACTGATCTGGTAGTTCGAGTTCTACAACTTAACGGAGTTTACAATTAACGGCGGCCCGGAAAAATATTTTCCCACGAATAGTAGTAGTCATGCAGGTTTATGTCATGATCAAAACAAGCAGTTAGTCATTACCACTCACCTTTTGTCACTGTCGTAAAATCACCATTGCCAGGAAATGGCCATTAGTCTGTTTTACATTTTGAACTGGCAAATAATCCATAGCCAAAACACATTTTAAAGCCGCTTATTCTAATTCTGCACTTTCATTTTGTTTTTCAGGTCAGCCCCACCTCAGGAGCGAAGACAGATACAGACATATCGCAAATGATCGCGCTCGAGTCCCCACAGTGCTTCCAGTCAAACGCAAGCGAAGCCACGAGAGAGGTCTCACATTGGAGGAAAGGTTGGTATATTCATGTTTACAAAAGTGATTCAATATTAGAATTATGATTCATTAAATTCAAATGGTGTCAAAGAGATGTAGCATTTCCTAATGAATAAATGTTTTAGGCGAGAGCGGGTCCTGAGCAGAAGCAGTGGCAAAGCTGCCCAGAGAGCAGCACCAATGGTGTTCAACGGGCCACAGAGTCCCACATCTACCTGGAGTCCGACACCCAGCCCTCTGCCCACCCACATGTACTACGCACCAGTCATGGATGAACCACTCGCCCTCATCAAGAAACCAAGAAAAGACCCTGAATGCACAGAGGAAAAGACTAAAAGCCCTGCTCCCGCTCAGATCCAGGTAATTTTACCAAAACAAGTGCTGCTTGTGTGCTCGATGTGCTTCTATCAAAGGTCATGGATATTTGGGCTGCCATATAGCTTCTGAAAATGTGCAGTCGCTTAGTAATGTCGGTGTAGCTCCAGGCTACCCACAGCAGTGGCACATCTCCCATCTGTAGTCAGTGAATAAAACTACACAGGCATGCTACTCCCAAGAGTGTTCACAGGCCTGAGCTTGTCCGAGCTATGCAATCCAGCCTGATTCAGGAAGAAAATGTGAGCAATGGCAGGAGGAATTCCATCAACAAGACCAAACAGACTGCTCTCTCTTTGACCTGCATATGCCACCACACTGGCATATGCAGTTTTCAAATGATTCTGTTTTCAAATTCAACTTTGTACACTATTTTGTTGTCATGGGATGAAGTGCACAGATGATAGTGAGAAGAAAAAAAGAAGCAGAGCTGCTGTGTTATATTTGCAGAAATACATTGTCTTTTCATTTGATTAATGATCCATCTTCTTTTTCAGATGCGTCCTTCTGTGATCACTTGCGTTTCCTCATCGACGAACCCCTCTTGCAGATCTGAGATCCACAGGAGCCCCACATCAGGTGAGTTTCATAATCTTGTGAATGAGCTCATGCACCAGACGGTCACTCCCTGATTGTCACACATGCTTCATAATATAGATATCCACTCACTTTCCCTGACTCACAGAGGTGTGTAACAGAGGTGTGTATTTAACATTGTTATTCATCCCTTTGCCTGTCCAGTGATTTCCAGACGCAAATATGACCATGTCGTTGAGGAACATTTCCAGAGGAGCCTCGGAGTGAACTACCAGAAAGCTCGCTCCCAGCAGCTCTCCATCAGCGTGTCTGTCGATGACCACTTTGCCAAGGCTTTGGGAGACAAGTGGCTGCAGATCAAATCCAAGTCTTCCTCCTGTTCTTCCACACCTCCCAGCAGCCCAAGTGTCACTCACTCCCCCACTTACAGCCACAGCCCGAATCAGTCCCGCAAAGAGTCCACCAGCAGGTCATCGTCGACTTCCAGCCGCTGGTCTGTCAATTAAATCAGAAACAACCTCTAATATGGGAGGAAACTGTGACTTTTTACTTTTCACTGCGTGCAGCTCTGATTGGCGCGCAATGGAAATGCCAGTGCTAGTGTTTGTGAGCCAGCAGATTCAGTCCTGTCACGTTGGACCTCTGTGTCCAAATGTAAGACACATTGATGCAGACGAATGTAGCAATAGATGGGATGTCCGTGTTTTATTACATTTCTACCTTCTGCTTGTCGATAGCATCTGAATACCTGAGATACTGTTGATGGTGATAAGGGATGATTGAAAAATCAGCCAAATAATCCTAAACATTTCTTTGATTTTGTGACGTTTTTTTTTTAATGCCGTCTGAATGCCACAATTTCGTTGTATTATATTTATGTTGTGATAACACTTGGGTTCCTTATAGTCTAAATGACTCGCCTATCTGCTGTATAATATGCTTATCAGCTGTATACAAATATTTTAAAAAAGACTTTGAAAAAATAAAAATGTTAAAGATTCTTTAGTAGCATTGTGTGTTTTCTCGTTTGTAAATAACAATCAAAAAATTGAATAACAAATTCAACCTTTCATATTTTTATTGGACTCTTCAGAGGGAGAAACTACTTCTCAAAATGAATAAAACTCCTTTTAAACTTGTAGGTCATGACCTAGAGGACACCTTGTAAGAACTGGGCAGGGTGGTGTACCAGACAACCTCATTTCAGTTGTGAGTCAGTGTGTGTCTCCAACACGTCTGGCGCAGACACAGCATTTACACATAGAGCTGTTGCCACACACTGAGTGTAAATTAAATGGAGGTATGAGCAACACTTTTGGGACTTTTTCTGGGAAGTTTGAGGGAATGTAGGGTGCATGTACCAGCAGGCACCAGGCCTTGTGTTCTGACATTCCTGTCTCCTGAGAAAATGACTTTGTAAGATCCTACAGATCCTGTTTGGCAAGGGATAGGAGGGAGGGAAGAGGGGAAGGAAGGGTTGGGCTAATATAGGCCTGAGCATGAGAACCAGTCAAGCTCTTCACTTACTTATTTGCATGTTCTATCTTGCCTAACTTTAATTATGATAAGCCACATAAAAAAATCCAACCCTTCTGTCTTTGAAATGACAGGTATGGCCATTTTAAACAAGTGGAAATTACCTAAATGTTCTGACAGGTTTAAAACATTGGGAAAAATGTTGTAAATCAGGAAGCAGAATGAGGGAAAGTATAAATGAAGTGTGTTTTTACATTAAAATAGTTAAGGTAAACCATTAAAAGTGTGTAAGCAAATGCCACTGGGTGGTTTAAGTTCAGACATATGGACAAAAACGCTTACAATCTGTACAGTAACATTACGTTTACATCAAACAGATCTTGAAGCAAGTCCAGTCAAACAGAAGACCAAACTGCTGGTTATAGACTGGTATTTCCACACGGAGTATATTCTTTATCCAGAGTAACCTGAACAGCGGCATTGATGCCATCTACAGGCGCTTAGGATCATGCAACATGACCAATGTTCTCATGTTGCATTATGAAGAGCACAGACAACTAAAACCAACCACAGCTCTGCGGGTCAACTTGTTGAGTGAGAAAAGTCACGTGACAGAGAAACCTTTAGAAGCGTGAGAGAAAACACCCTGCTCAGCGTACCACTAGGAGGCAACTCCATGACAGGTTTTTACAACTGCATGTCACTCTTGATCAACATTGATTATGTTTCTCATCAAAAATAAAGTTTGTGTCTGGCCTTGATAAACAAATACAAATGTATGGTCTAACTCTGTGAGTTTATATTAGTAATTATATGTGTACCGTTTTAAGTTTGAAGGATTTTATCTTTAATTTCAGAATATATTTTAGATACCTCTATATGTTTATAGTTATACCCTGTATTTGATGTACTAACTAAGCCACAGTTATATGCAAGCTTGCTGTATGAGAGAAATGAAATGTGTTTAGTTACAGTATTGGGCACTGTTGTTTAGCACAAGTGAGAGTTCAAATGACATGACACAACATGGCCATGAGAATGTTAAGAGAAAAAACTTCTCAAGCTGCTGCAACACAAATGCACATTGTTGTTTGAGGCAACAATACAAGATAATTACAATACCGAATACCTCAAACATGACAGAAAACAACATTTAACTCAATTTCACTGTGGCAGTAGTAATTAAGGACGTACCACTGTACAAAAGATCTCTGGGAAAGTTCTTGCACTTTGTCTGGTCTGTCAAAAGTTAGATCACTGTCAACACAGCATGAAGCATTTTGTAAATAGTTAAAATTACAGCTCTAATCTCATGAGAACATGATTGTGTGGAATGATGTGTTTCTGTTGTGGAGGAGTGTATGATTCAATTTCAAGGTTCTTGTTTTAAGCTATTTATTTAAATGATCAAAGACAGCATTCTGGGATTATTGTTTAAATGATGATTGTTCGGTTTCAGACTGCTGGGTGTTCTCATTTCAAAAACTGGCATCTTTATTCAACCTACAATAGCAAGTGAATGTGATATGAAATGCGCCTGTTCAAATTGGGTGCTAAGAGTGGGGGAAATAAACACTTAAAGATAAAACAAAACACCCATTCAATTGGAAAAACTGCTGCAAGAATCCGCTGTAAAGCCTTTGCAAATTCCATTTTGTTATTCAAAAATAAACTTGATGTGTTTGTTATTCATTTAACAATAGAACAAAACCCTAACGTGACAACATGTATTTATTTAAGACAAGCAGGCAAAAGTTGCCAATGTTTATTAGTATAAAAGTTCTTATCAAATTTTCTATATCTGATACCTTGCAATCAAATAGGGCCTTGAATAATGATTCAGTTTTGATTATCTGGTATTTGGCTTGATTTTAAAAAGCACATGGAGCCCCATGTATCATAATACGTATTTTTAAGCTTATTCAAAGCAACTAAAGAAACCGCCTTAACAAATAAATTGGACCAAGTTGTAGGTGGATAATGGACATGAATACACAATGCTCGTAGCTGATTGCAGCATTTATTTTTGTGGGTGAATATGTGCATTTACCATGTGACACTCAATGTGAGTTGTGTTGTATAGTACCGGTATGATTACATGTATATGGGTATGCACAACTATGTATGGGCATGCCCATAGAGAGTCCAATGTAGATTTGTTTCCCCCTTGTGTGTATGTTTCTCACTTTACTGTTTTGTTATGTATTATATTTGTGTATTTTTGGTATCTCAGAGCTGGCAGGGATGGGTCTAGGGATATTAATTATATGTTAAAAAACATTGAACAAGTGATAACATAAATATCTATTGATAATCTAAATATCTATAAAGATATTTGCCACTTGACAAAATGCTACAGAAAATTTGAAACTGTTGTTTCCAACATCAGTTTACCAACATGAAATGGCGTGGTTATAAGTGCTCATTGTCACCTTTTAACATGATCTGAAGCATATATAAATAACATGTGGTGGTGCAGGTTAAAGTGTGCTGACTGCGTCTGTCACCTTCTTTTCAGTAGAGTTGTGAGTCACTTCCCTTTGCACTCGTCACATGCTTTGAAGAGGTCAAAATATTCCACACAGGTAGCATTTGTGCACACGGGTTGACTTGTCAGATGTCACAAAGCCTAACTACATAATCTGCAGGAACTAAATAAATGAGTAATGAAGAGGAACGCATCAGCAGATTTGGAGGCAGTGTAGCATTTCAAAAAAGAGTCAATTTTGCTGATGTTGGAAGCGGCCTCGTAGTTTTGTGGAGTTTCTCAGTAAAGTGACAGGTGAATGGTGAATAACAGGTAAATCAGTAACATAGTTTGAGACTGTTGTTTCACATACTGCTTAGCTACACTTGCCAGATGAGCTATCCATACTACAGGTGATTCTCCATCACCTAAACCTTAGTTCAGTGTGATCAATATGTGGCAAAGTACATTTTTCTGTGGTGAGAATTCTTTAACATTGACATCGCGACATGCAGAGAGAGAGAGATATCTAGTGTATAAGCTCAACAATAGCATGTATGTATGTCGTTGATATTATTTGTCTCAATAAAATAAAAATAAAATATATGAATACAATAAAAAAGATACTCTCTTTTCTTTTAAAACTTTATATTAGGTGTGGCCAATAGGTGGCACCAGAGTGGAGGCCAGAGTGGGTCGGCAGTCGCACATGCACATTGTCTTTCTTATTTGTATTTACACGAAATAAGTAGAACTATACATAGTATCCAATTCTGTAAATATTACACATAATGTTACAATAATACACCTTGATTACCATCAACACACTGCAGCCTGAAATATAGTTTCTTTAGGAACAAGAATATTTAAGCAAAACAATAGACATCTGTGTGTCTCCATGGTGGTGAGGAAAAACACAAATTGGGATTTGGGGCTCATATGCAGTCAAGCAACGTAATCAAAGACAACTGTAATTATTCCTCCCTGCCAACAAACAAGCTAAACATTAGCTTTAAGCAACAGCGGTCTCATGACCGGTTCGGAAAGGCGTGTACTCAACCAGCTCAATATATAAACCGACCTCCACCAGGAACCTGCAAACGTTACAGACTGCGGTCCTCCAACAGTAAATATCATCCTTTCAATTTGCACAAGGCTGTTCCTCACCTCGCTACAGCATACATCAAGTGCGTTGGCCCAAAACACGCTGCGGAAAACTTTCAGTTTGGTCACATATGTAAGTATTTGACTTTATTTTCTCTCGCGTTTCTTCTTCTGTTTCTCTCCTGTAATGTCGCTCCATTTGAATTATTATGCAATGTCAGCTTAGAAGATTAACATACCGCTATTTTCTATACTGGTGTTATATTTGTTCAAAATGAAGAAATACGCCTATTACTTGCAGCTTTTTGAATTTTTAAGTTGATTTCTTTGTGATTGTACAACGCTTCCTGGCATTTTAGAAGCTACTAAAATGTTGCGACGCTCATTGTGAACCTGTTTATTGTTGCTACACGGACACATTTAAGTCATTAAAGTCAAATAATTACTGCATTAGCTTTCATGACATTCACGGATTTCATTTGATTTAGCTATATTTTAACAATAGCAAATCCTAGAAAATCCTACACTGTTGTACTACAGCCCTATGTCCAACATCATTCAAATGATGACAGCACTAATAACAATGGGTACCAGATTTACTTCAACAACACTTAAAGTATGAGAGCATTCTTTAGTATACGGTGGGAAATGGATACTTGTAAAAAATGTACATTGCATAATTTAGGCTTCTGTTTTTTGTCATAAAAATAATTTTGTTATATACGCACACTTCATCTCATGTTATAATTGACTCAGGTCTCTATTACCTCCTGTTCAGACAGATACGTTTACAGTAATGTTATACTCTAGAGCAATTTGATGCCTTTAGTGTGGCTCACCCTAATGATTTACTACTGATATAAAACACTTTCTCTTAACCACTTCCCTTTGCCACAACGTAATAAATCATGCCTGCAGAACAAAATGATATACGCTGTTTGGTCTTGTCAGCT